ATACAACATGTTTCGGTTCAATACTTAGGTGCAACTCCATATTCGGGTATGTCCGCCATTGAGGTCGTGAACAAAGTGCTGAATGGAATGTTTTTACAGCGCCCTCTACATTGCCGTGAAGAAATGTAAGTGAAAGCTACTCCTTGTAACAGTTCGTTGCCATCATTGTTGTTTCGAAAGTTTTTTTCACCAGTTGATATCATCTTTCACAAATTCTTGTGATAAAATCTTATGATTTTTTTTTATCAGCATGCCAATATATAAAAGAAGCATGTACATGGATAGGGGAATATCAAGCGACATTTAGAAACTAGAAGCTAACACAAAATCCTGACCCATGGTTTTTTTATTTTTTATGTGACATTTACTCGTGTGTAAGTTTTAAACCGTAATTTAAACTCGCTCCTGATCAAATTATTATTATTATTATTATTATTATTATTATTATTATTATTATTATTATTATTATTATTATTATTATTATTATTATTCAAGGTACGATCTGATGGTTCAGTGTTGGTCGATGGAGGGAGATCGGCGCCCGTCGTTTGCGCAAATTGTGACTCATCTTGAGAGTTTACTGGATGTTGACTCGGATTACTTTGAATTCGATGATTACGAGGAATCAGTCTATAGTTGGATGGACCCTCAGAGGGCCGACGAAAGAGTCTAAGAATGATGGTTATTGAAGATCATCAAAATATGATCCTTTGTTCTGGAGGGCATTTGTCATTACTTTCAGCCATTTGTTTATAAGGTGTAAGTAACGGCGAATTCCGTCTCCTCTGGAGGTAGGCGTTGACCTAATGACAACATGTGACACTCCACATTTTCACCTGGATGAGATTTGTTTTATTTATGCAATATACGCCATTGTATGAACTGTAATGAATGTTCTTCAATATTTTACAAAGCTGCTTTTGACTTGCTTCCCGAAGGAAACTGAGATAACCCTGATGTAAGTTGTTTCAGAATGCATTGAATTTATTCAGACACAAAATTTTCAAATATTTCTGAATTAGTTATGGTCTTATGCTGTTAAACTTGGATTCATTATAATGGGAATCAGGAAAGGCAGTTTTAAAAAACTGATGTAACGGTATTATTGTTTACTAATAATTTAGGGCTTACTCCGTGCACTAACCCACCCCGTTTATGACTGTCATCAGAGACATATTTATGTGTTGTATATGTCTATAATTTCATAGAATCCGTGAAAAGGTTGAACTTAGTGTACATAATGAAAGGGACACCTTAAATGACCGTATTGTACATATCAGTGGAGAAGTGGTTTATAATAGGTAAAATATCTGGTTTTTTAATGGAGACCCAGTGTAGCTTAATGATTTACGGCGCTCACTAGCATATCTCACCTCTGTTCTCGTGGGTTCGAGTCTCAGCTCGACCAACGTGGGTACGTGCGAAACGTAGTTCGGTGTTTCTTTCCAAGGTTTTCACGGGTTCTTCCAACATCAAATATACTTACCGTTATGTATAATATATCATGTGCTAAAAATGACGTTGCACAAACCATATATGACGAGTTTTGAATAATACTTTTCGGATTTTAATGTTATTCTATGTCAGAAGGAATTTTGTTGTTTTTTTTTTTTAAATTTACAATAATGTTTTAACATTGTAATATAGTCCTCAATAGTCTACTAGCTTTCAATATTTGTTTTCAATTTGCATTTTTTAAACCAGCTTGTTTCTACATTTTTGTCGAGAATGAACTTGTATTGATATTTTTCATCTTTTCCCATGTTTTTTAAGCTTTAAGTTTCCCATTGGATTCAAATGGTTCAGTTGTGAGTTTTAAAATACTGCGTAAAATGCAGACATTGAAATCTTCAAGGACAACGTCTGAAATTTCACACGTCTTTATAAAATATAAGTATTGAACAAGAACGATTTACCTTGTACATATGCAGCCTTTTATCTTTATTCTTGGTTTATGTCGTATATATATATATATATATATATATATATATATATATATATATATATATATATATATATATATATATATATATATATATATATATATGTATGTATGTGTGTGTGTGTGTGTGTGTGTGTGTGTGTGTGTGTGTGTGTGTTGTATGCATGTTATTTCGCAGCCTCTTGATTTCCCCACCCGGACCCATATTTTATTTCATATCTATATTTCGTTTTATCTGTCATATTTCTACTGAAAGCATATAGTGTTACCCCAAATGGAATGCATCATGTCTTTTCTACAAATATCCGTTTTGGATGTACTACGATGACGATACAGCATCTGCAGTACGAATTCACGGGAAAATCATGGAGATCTCAGGACATTAAAGTCTGCTAGGAAAAGTGGATAGTGTTCAAAGCACTATGATATTTATGAAATTATTTGCCTAAGTTCTGTAAAAGTGCGCTTTCTATTGAATTCACGCTTGAATAAGGGAACTTTAGAGTTACAACCAAAAATGTATCATCTCAGTCGAGTCGGCGTAATGATTATCTGAGATTTGAGCATGGTGTCATTTGGTAACTAAGATATAGACGATCTCAAATGGCTAATGATTTAATATCAAATTTATGAAGGAGTTTAATAATGTTCAGCGAGTTACATAAATTTAATATTAAATCATTGCCAAGTTAAAACTTTATTCATCAGTTTTTAATAGGAATAGTTTACAGAAAAAGAGAATGAAATGAAAAGAATAAAATTTGTCCCAGACACGAGTCTGATTTATAATGAGCAGTTCTTTAACCTGTGACATGTCAAAGTTTATTTATTTACAACTTATAATTCAAAGAGCAACTAACTTTTAAAAAGATCATCTTAGATGGGATGCATAATTTTCAAACACTTGATCTCGGATGGAAATTCCTGTGTGATGTCACATTAGTTGACTCGGTTGTGTTAGACGAGCCATACACATGGATTAAGATGAGAATGTATACGGTGCTTCCATCTTAAGCGTGTCAAGTTCTATACTAAGCATTCCATTTGTGTGATACTCATGTCAAGGCATGATTACAAATGCAGAAATTCCAGGTTTACTCTAATGCATTTGTGTTTGCATATTACATTATTTGATTTGGAATAGCAGACATAGATAAAGAATAATTTTAATTAGAGTCTTAATTGCGTTACATAATACAAAATAAAAAAACAATATTAGCTCGTTGGAACCATTTTATCACGTAACAATGCTGTGGTTTTCTGGCAGCCGGGAGAACTGCATATGTTAACGTTCATCTCCAAACTGAGGTGAGTTTATTATTCCTGGAATGCAACATTGATCAACGCTTATTATAGGCTGGGGTTTATGTTGCAACCTACACACCCCGCTCTCTGTATACTGACCGATACCCGTGCGGTAAATTGGCTATATTCCGACAGACGTGACCATTTTTCAAAGTTTTTTGGGGAACCCAATTCAAAATATTGCCCCCAGAATGTCGATAGTAATTGTTAAAATTTTAAAAATATTCCAGAAGACGGGGTAATTAAAATTTCTTTCGAGTCGTATCCACTCAGTATAGCGAATAATGTTTAAGAACTTCTTGGGCTTATTTGGATCAATCAGAAACACGTCAAGTAATATGTTCACATGTTGTCATATGAAAAATATTAAACTACACACATTATATGTTAATGTACCAAATATATGATAAACATGTATCTGCAGTGACTTCTACTGTACGTACAGGCCCGACCCTAGGATGCGCGGGGCCCAAAAGCAGCAAGCGATGAAAGCGGAACTCCAAGCCTAAAATTTGCGATGCGGAGAAGCGCGGAACCATAAGGCGGTTGCCTCGTTCGCCGTGCTCTAGGGCCAGTCCTGTGTACATAGTATTTCCATTGTGTTTTCCACTCATTGTTAGAAAGAACCAAGCGTGTTTCGATTGAATGTTATCCATGTCTGTTCGTTCGTTCTGCAACACCACAACCTGTTATATAATTGTCGCTAATTTCACTAACGTACAAAAACTTTGATGGACTTAGGGAATTTAGTATACAGCTTTTTTACATCAAGAAGACCTAGGCCCCATTCAGATGTGTCTATTTTCCTGCAAACTTTTATTGACTTATGCCCTGTTTAACATAAACTTCTTTCTACATTCCAACACTGGGGACAGCATTCATGTAATATTGAGACCGTTCTATTTCTTACAACAAAAAAAATTTCTTCTTAGTAATTTCTTAAATAGCATCATACCACGATTAGTTTCCTTCTATGTTAATTATTATACATCTGTTACTAAAAGTAGTTGAACATTGTATATGTCTTATGTATAATCATTAATTAATACACATCTGTTAATGTAACTAACAGAAGATTGTATATTTCTGCGCATACTAACATTAGCGAACGAAATTCTGAAAATATAAGTGGTATGACCAGTATACGTACTGACTCAAGGGAAATAATTCGAAAGAACCTTAATGGTATGACTATATAGCACTTCCTATTACCGTGCCGACAATTTTAACAATTTTTAACTATCTTTAGATTTTTTGTGAACTTTTTGAAATCTGCCCATTTTTTTTCACATAGACTTTGACATTTCAAAGCATGTCAGTTATGGAACCATTGAGCTTGGTACTATTTTGCTTTCAGAATATGCATGTTTATGGTCAACCTCAAGAAGAAATAATTGTGACATCAGACCAAATTATTTCTTTTTGCGATGTCTTGGAGGCAAAACAATAATTACCTGATTAATGCGTCATGCATCATTAACTTTAAAAGTTAAGTACAAGACAAAATGTGTATGTGCGTGATTTGGATTTTAATTTAGCTTTAAAAAAAAATCAGTCGTATTGATGCAATGTCTGCAGTGTGGCAGTTTATAGTGAAGTCTAGCAGTGCGGCGTCATGCCGCAGACATGTAGCAAGATGTCTCACCAAGTCACATTATCCTGACACCAGGTAGACCAGTCCGAACACTAACCTCTTAATGCTGAGCGCCAAGCGAGGCAGCTGTTTGTGCCATTTTTGTAAGTCTTTGGTCTTTGGTATGGCTCAGCCGGGGATCAAAGCCACGACCTCCTGCATCCGAGGCGGACGCTCTAACCACTATGCCACAATAGCGGGCAAGATAAAATATAACACGTACAGATTTAAATGGCTGTGAAATATATATATAAAATAATACTTAATGGAAACGCATGTAAAATCCTTATAACATTGTTATTTTTATACACCTCATACTCTTAATAAATCAACGATTTTGTCTGGTTGTACGTCATCATACAGTTTCCTCACCTAGTTCACATCGACATACTTCTGTCTTATATGGTGGAATCCAACACACGCTCAACAAACGTACATATCTGTACCGATTACAACATATTCATGACGACCCAGAGCTCTATCTGAAGTTTTCTTATTCATGTTGTGGAGGAAACCAAATGTTTAGGGCATTTTTTGGCAGTAAACTTGATTTTTCTTCAACATGCTATATACCTCGTTGACAAATGTAAAACAATCCCGGATTTAATAGAGTCGTGACACACTCAGTTTGTGGCATCTTGATCTGGCTACGCATATGATTAGAAAGGATCTATGTTGACGATGACTAGACTGTAAGAATCATCTTGTAAATCTTACCTGTAGATGCTTTGACCAATACTTAATCAATAAACAGAACTAGAACTGGTTAGCTACATTTAGAACTTCCCATTCAGAAAGCTTCGATGAAATGAACCATGGCTTTATCTCAGATAAACGAAATTAGCTCTTCTGTAGGCTGCCAGTCTATCGTATGGTTTCATCTAACCGCACATATGTTGTATTGTATTATTGCCCACACGTAGAGAAAAATCACCATTCATGGTCCTAAATATGAGATGTTTTAAGAAAATAGATCATTCTTAGGCATCAATTAATTAATTAATCACGGAGTGAGTCATATAACAAATTCGTATACTTTAAAATTTTCTGGTAGTGCCCCATTTCTTGACGTGATCAATATTTTTTATTGACGTATATAGCCATTGATACTTGAAAACAAAAATTATTTTTGTTCCTAAATTTTTAAACAAAGTATAAATTTTACTGTTTTACTCTTGTCACCATTCGCAATAAATGCGTGAAAATAATGATGAAATGGAGAGATGCATTAACTCAGCTTGTAGAGCGCCTGACTGGTCATCCGATGATCGAAGTATTTATACTTGCCCACGACAGCCCAGACCGGCTCTCGCAATCTGTCGTTAAGTCACTTAGCACCAAGTATTTCTGGATGGTATAGCCAGTGAAAACAAAAATGAAGGTGCCGTTAAAAACCAACCAAGCAAGGAAGGAACGGAATAGGCATCGAAGTTTGTCATCGGTATTAATGCAATGTGTTTCAAACATGACAAAATTTGTTAAAAGCGTTGTCTAACTCCTTTATATAGCTATGTATGTACAATGATCTGTATTATTGTGTGTATAGAGAAGTAAAATAGGGCATAATATATTAAGGCATTTAAGGATTTATTTTCTCTTCCGTGATGTTACAAGAGAGGGTACAAAACATACGCTTAGAACAACTAATGTGTTTAGGTTTTGATAGAAAAACTAAATTTACAATAATTTAAGTACATGGTTACTTTCATGCACAAACTTATCTACATTTGTATCTGAATACTATAATATCTCAGAGAGCCATTGTTTTGCATTTCTCTGCCATTATTCTTCTTTGACGCATCCTACGAGTTATACTAAGGAAAGCAAGAAATGTATTATGCTGGTTTTCATGATTTTTTAAATATATGTCTGTTCTGGTGACAATAGACTTTAACAAAAATGATGTATGAAGAAGTATTTAGACTATATAATTTTATTCGTTTAAAATCTGATGTTCTTATTAATTTTGCTCTTTATATAATAAATCCAAAATAAAAAATACTTCTACTTTTATAGCATCATTCATTTTATTTACCTTTCAACTTAACTGAACAACCAAAATTATTCCAAATGTTGTGTCTAACAGAGATCAGATCAATCTTACAAATATAGTGCTACAGTTGGATTGGAGCTTGCGTTTTTGTTGCTATGCCTTCCCAACTAGTAAAACGTTCGACGTTCTCCGTTAATATTATTTCCGGTCGAAATTGCTTACGACGGTAAAGATAAAATAGAAGAATCCATTTTGTAGATATATTATGCATGCATGTAGTCAAACTAAGGGAAAAAGATGTGGCTTTTCAGTGGCATATGCAAAATGAATAATAATTCTGATATTGTCCCCAAATTTCTGCCCATTAATTTGTTTTATGTAATGTTATACAATCACTCACACCATGCAACAGTTAGTGACCTGTCCAATGGTCATAGGTAAGGATATAGCGAGGTGTTAAGTAAGGCTGATTGACATGGTGGGCATATTAAGTCTATATACGCACCCGAATGCACACAATAACATTGTAGGCGACATTTTAAATCGTCATTTCTTTATATCAGGGTTAAATATTCACAATGCACCACGGGAAAAATACAATTTGTTACATTTTACATTCATAATGTAATACTTAACTGTAGCAAATAAAAAACATAATTGACTGATGGTCCTTGACACCTGTGAGTGTGTAACTTCAGTGTGCAGAATATCAAACATGGCTGTCAAGGAAAAGTGCTCATTTTAATATTCGATCCATCCCTCTCTCAATTTTAAAATTTATATTTGGATTTAAAATGGTATTGTGCTAAGATCATAGATGTAATTAAAAGGAAGATGTGAGTGTCATGTTAGCAGGTTTCGTATAAATGTGATGTAAAGGAATTGCGTGGATGGTGTTCCGAGTATGTGGACTTAAACAAATAACAGAAAGAAGCAAAAACAAAACCTTTGTAAAACCAAACATACAATTTAATTCTCTAAGTTATACAATGAAAATTTCAGTGGAACATACAGTATTATGAATTAACTCAAAACAACAATCCAAACAAATGAGTCCTCTCAAATTATATATAAACCCAACATGAAATCCTTCTGCAGACTGATTTTTAATTAATTAATTAATTAATTATCCACTTATCCCCTTTATATACACACTCAGCCGCTACGTGGCAATATTTTCCTACTTAATCCCCTTCCCCACAAGACGCATTTCATTTGACAACATATTCCTACCTCGCAAAAGAACCCACCTGACTTAATCATCCACTGGGAAATTACCCCATACCTGTAAGCAGGTTTATTATTAAGATTACTTTTTAAAATTGTCAAAAACATATCTTAGCTCATTGCAATATATAGTCATGCTCCAAAAGTTAAGTAAATGCACAACATAGATATAATTTAAAATGACGATGTAATTGAAAGAGTGGGTTTGAATGACCTGATTGTAGGTTTATTGACCTATGGCTACGTGTTGTTGTTCTGTTCTTTTGAAACCGGATACGCATGTTTTATGGTGAACTATTTCAGTTTGATTTATGTCTTAGCGACATGGTAGCGCTGATTTTATATCATACTTTACTTGCGCTGCATACGTCAACAACAATGGTTATATCTCATGAATCGCGTTGGATTTTTTGTTGTTTTGTTTTTGTTGTTTATTTTCTTTTTTTGTTTTTTTTTTTTTGTTTCTTTGCATACAATATTACAGGAATAATCTGTAGTATATAAGACATTGTTGCACAGACCATCTTGTTCGACACAATAAACAACGTTCTATTTATCATTGCATTCTACTCTACTGAACACGAATTCTCTTTTCATGTTCCACCAACTCAATAGCAAAAATAGGACAGTGGAATTTTTTTTTCTTGGTTCGCTTTAAAGTAGTTTAAGGTGGAGACAGTAAAACAAAAAGACTTCTAGTTAATTCCATGCAGTTTCTAGAAAGAAAAAGGTCAAGGTTGGATAGGGATTTCAAACCAAAACTTGAATTCATACGTTAATTCTTAATATACATAAAATGAAATAGTGCTTACTGGCACTCAATAAATATGTCTAAATGTATTTCTGGCAGAAAAATAAAAAGAAAATCTTTCTCGAAATTTGGCTACTACTTCTTTAAGACCCTTAAAACATGTATAAAAAGTATAGAAGTAACGCATAAAAGCAGACCAGGAACTATGGCCTACTGTGTTCGCTGTTAATTGCGCGAGCATATACAGTAAAATAAACCTACACATATGTGATATATGATCTCTAGAACAACCTACACGCACAGAAAAATACATACATACATACATACATACATACATACATACATACATACATACATACATACATACATACATACATACATACATACATACATACATACATACATACACACACACACACACACACACACACATACATACATACATACATACATACATACATACATACATACATACATACATACATACATACATACATACATACATACATACATACATAGAAAGAGAAAGAGCGTGTTTGTCTGTGTGTGTATGTGACTGAGAGAGAGAGAGAGAGAGAGAGAGAGAGAGAGAGAGAGAGAGAGAGAGAGAGAGAGAGAGAGAGAGAGAGAGAGAGAGAGAGAGAGAGAGAGAGAGAGAGAGAGAGAGAGAGAGAGAGATTTATAATTCGTTCCAAGTAGTAATTGAACGCATGATGCTAGTAATGGAATCTATCGCCTAACCATTGTCTACCAGCATTCCAACCAAAATGGTCATTTGCTCACAATCAGAAAAGGAGCAACAGGGTCGATAGAAAAGACTTGATGTGGACGAGAACTCATTCCCTAGACAGGCGGAATACAAGGGACATTTAAACATGTCTGAATATTAGTGTGTTGTAACGTTCATTGTTAGTGAATAGTCAGTGAATAGTCCTACCAAAGTATTCCCATGCACAACTTCTTAGTCTGAATATCATATTATTAACTTCCATCGTTATTTTCTTCTTGGCATGTTGTTCATTCATTAGAAAACTGAACTTCAAAACCGTATGGCTGCTTAAAATGGTGTTCCATTCAGTGGAACTTTGATAACAGATTTTCAACCAAAAAAATCGTATTGTTTTTTAAAACTAAATCATGGATGTACGGATTTTGTGACAAAGTCTGAATGATGTGCTCCTACAGGAAGTGTGCGGCGACGACAGATTTATGCGTCAATGTGTAGTC